TAAAGAGTGAACGTAATCTGCATTTTTAGAGTACTGCACATGTATTATTAACATCCTGCTTCATGAATAAAGCGTTTAAGATTCCTTTGATATAAGGCTGGACAATGACAGCCATATATTAGAAGCAGATTTTCAAAAGTTTCATAGTGAGGGTATGACATAAATGCTTTAGAAATCTCCAGATATGTGCACAAGCTGCATATATGTTACATATTAACTACATGGCAGAGATGCTGCTCTGAAATGTGGCCCTTTTTTAATGCCATTATACACGCAGCTAACGAGCATTTGGGATGAATCTTGGGAGCAAAAAAACCCTACTGATCTTACACCTGCTCTTTAGCAGTGGGAAGTGAGTTCTCAATCTGTTAACGTGACCATCTGGCCAATCTGCATATCCTGGCTATCTGGATTACTGTACGATGGAATGGCAATACCGTAACCAAAATAAAACCAAAATGCGTCAAAACCTGGCACTTTGGACTTAAAGGAAATAACAGAAATGCTGCATCAGAACAAAACAAGAATGTAATCTAAATAATTAAAAATGAGCCTGCGTTACAATGTAATTAAGCAAACAATACGGTGTATGTAATGTGGTAATCAGCAATACCTTATACAGGAAAACATTATACTTTTGTAAAGCAGGTATCAGGAGTTTCAAGATGCTGCAACAGCTCTTTTCGTGATGTACAGTATTGTTAGAACACCCTTCACATCACTGCTACACACTGAATTGACTGAAGCTATTAACAGGATTAATGCAGCAACAATCAATAACAATTGTACTAAAAGATTACAGTGCAAGTGTTATGTGCTTTCTGACTTGAAACTAAAAGACACTCACACTGATATTTTGACTATATGAGACTATTTTAATTCTGACCGGTATTTACATAATTTCAATCGATATGCCTTTGTTATGATCTAAGTATAAATATTTAAAATACACTAATTACAGCACAAAATGTGTCTACTTTAAGTTCAAGGTCACATGTACCTACTATTACATAGTCAATTATCCACAGAACATATTTCAATGCTAAGTAAATTTTCACAGTCGCAAAAATATGTCAGACTTCCCATTTCGACTTTGGCTTCAGTTCTGAATAGGATCAAAACCAGTAAAACGGTCTTATTTGAACAAAATACTAACTCCAGACTTTATTTAAACTTAGAAATTTTAAATGCCCTGAAGGATTAGGCAATTTTGTCCCTCAAACATCTCACTAGCTTTAATTATTGCCTAGAACGGTTAATGACATCTATCAGGAAAAAAAATTCAAGCATCGTATTATCCCTTTCTGGCCTGTAATCTAGCTTTGTCCACTAAGAAAGTCTTTAAAAACTGTGACCTCTCACAAAATTTAATTACCTCAATGGAGAATCTTTTCTACAATCTGATCACATTAGCAGAAGTAACTCCAAAGCAGTATAAAACTCAAGAAAGTTCTCGGTTGAGTGCCTACTAATGAACAAAGGTTAACTTTATCTAAAAGGTCAACTGCCTGGTGGCTTAGGTTATGACCTTAACAACTTAAATTGTGACCTCGCCACGTGCCTGGTATATTGTAGATTCTGATACAGATCATCTGGTTTGGGACTGGCCATAAATTAGCTTTACTGTTATACTCCCACAAAGAGAACGGTTTGCCACAATGGTTTCCAAGTTGTCATTTGATACATGTGCAGAAGAAGTGAAAACTAAAAAGCAAACCCAAGTGAAGGATAGGAGAATGCTGTCTGCTTTTGCTTAAACAGATTTAAAACGGCAAATTAGGACTGAAGCTGTAAATGTTACTACATTGTTTGGTCGCTCTCTAATTCCTGAAACAGCGTTGTTCGTTATTTTCTCACAAAAATGGCATGTAGTCTGTGTATTTGCATATTTTAGTTTTCTTGTTTTATACAGTTCTTAAAGAAAATAATTCATTTCTGTGGCTCTGTAAGAAGTGTTATTTAAATCTGTGCACATGTGTTCTCTTACAGATGACAGTGTCCGACTGGAAAAAAAGCCTGGATTCAAAGCAATAATTATCGTACATGTTTAGAAGGAAAGGAACATCTCACTGTTGAAGTCATCGAAAATAAGGCATATTGGAACAGAATCCAAAAAGAAAAAAAAAAGAAGATGAAGAAGCAGCAAGCACTATGGGTGAAAAGGCCACAATGGTTTTGGCACATATCTTAAAGCACGTTTCAGAGTCTGTGCCTCCTGCCAATACTGGCAACTTCTCAAAACTTTTAAGGAGGTAAAAACATTGTTTAGTGTTTACAAATCTTCTGTACTATAGCAGATGCTTGTCAAATCAGCTATATGTAAGTTGACCAACCTACCTAATATTTGTATTGGCAGCTTCCTCATCATAAATAACAGGTCTGTAAGACTCTGAAACCGTCTGAAATATTTTGAGACAAAAGGACCCTTAATATTTTCTTCTGTAATTCTCCTGTTGCACACACAGCACAAGCTGCCATGACTGCGGGTCTGTGGGAACCAATGACTGTCAGCTTGGCTGGTGTTCCAGTGTAAAAAGAATTGTGGGATACACCAGAGTTTAAAAATTTTTAAAAGGTAGCTTTATCTATGATGCTTTCATCATGCCTATTGGAAGGATAAAAATAATGATCATACTTTACTACATAAATATCATTGCGTTGCACTTGATTAATCTGTTTGTTAATAAATCTGGTAGCACGCATTACTGCCACAACCATGTATGGCAGCAGGTACAATCAGCGACAAAGATTGTACAGTTAAAGAGGTTTCCCGTTTAAAAGGACCTGTACATGTAGCTCAAGAAAGATTTTCAAGTCTAGCGTTCAAGTTTCTATGGCAAAGGTTTAGTCCAAAGAACAATTAGCACAATTGTTTTCTGTTTCTGATGAACAGATTAAAAAACAAGAGCTCACAGGGTCTGGACTAGATGTCTTCAAGAAGTCACTTTCAGCCCTACTTTCCTACGGTCGCTAGTTGTCAGTCATATTGACAAGATGACATACCACTAATAAAAATACTCAACTTTTAAATATGGGATGTGTGACTCATAATGGAAAAATTAAATCACTTTACACCTCTTTCTATTACTTATACATGTAGTTTAGCTGTTTGCTTCTCTCTGTCTCTCAGGCACATTCTGCATAACCAGGGCAATGGACTAATAAACCTCTTGAAGTCCCTTCCAGCCCTGTGTTTCTATGATCCTGCACACAGGCTGAAACAAGATCACTGGCTTCTGCTGACAAGCTTTGTGCTTTTTGGAAGCTGGCTTTTACTTTATGGAACACAATACTGACTAAACATTAGTGCTGAATGTAAGTCTAATTAATAATAATGCCTAGTTCCTACACAGCATTTTTCAAGTAGATCTCAACTGCTTTATAAAGAAAGTCACTGTAATTGTCTCCATTTTACAGATGAGGAAACTGAGGTACTCTCACTTCGTAAGACACTGAAAAAGCCAGGAACAAGAACATACCTCCTGCAACCCAGTCCAATGCTCTCTCCATTAAGCCACAAATCAGTACTTCTTATTTTATTATACGACATAATAAATCACCTAGTAAATAAATCCCTCTTTCCACAATATTTGCCTACACTTCCTGGACCATAAATATGCAGCCACATCTAATTGCAAAATAAATTCCACAGCTTATCTGTGTAAAATACCACAAAGATGCCCAAAGATACTTTCCAATCTCAGAATATACCTGTAAAACTTACTGAAATGGCATTGCACATCCTAAGTTTGAATGGCTTTATTGAATGAATCCTTTGGATAGTCAGCAATCTTTATAAATTCCTAGAGAATATTAGAAACTAGATATAGTCTCTTGTTTTTCTTATTTTAATAATAGGAAATGTATCTCTATTTAGTTTCTATTGATAAGATTCCACCATCTTCTCTTTGCTTCACTCCTTTTTCAACGCTCTCTGACCCCATGGCTTAAGTAACTGCTCAGAAAGAAATCCAGTGAGATCGGTAGGTGTGTCAATACAGAAGGTCAACAAGTTACAAATACCCGGGCCTAACATTTCATGAACAACAACTTATCTACAACAAGATGATTGGAAAATAAATGCAACAGAATATCATTTTATCCTGCTGCTGAATATATTCATATTCACAAGCGAGGCAGGTTTTGCACTGGAGTCACAAAAGTACCAAATTTCATAACATGCCTTTCTGCCCTCCTGAATGTAACATTATCAAATCAAAAATCAATTCTCAGGACTGGTCAGATGCCACGTCATTTCTTTATGACACTCTGGTTATTTCTTTTAACGCTGATCTTATTTTAACCAGTTGATTACACAGATGGGGTTTTTTTTAAACCATACTTTGCACCAGCCAGATTTGCGTGACTTGTTTCTTTTACACTTTGGGCCCAAATCTGTAAGACGTGGCACAGGTTCCCCCATACGTGTCGATAGGAATCGAGGGCACTCAGCGCCTCTTAGCACCGGCCCTTTTCACGATCAGCACTTGGACACTCCTGTTTCCCTGAATTTATTTGTTCAATGACATAACACATATACAAAGGGCGTTTGTATTTTTTTTTAAAAAAAGGCCCATCTCTGTGCTTTCCCTGGCCTGTAATAAAACAAGATACATTATAACTAAGCCTCTAGATAGTTTAAGAAGCAAAGGCCTTTCACATTTCCTACACTAATATTAATGGAAACACTTTTGACAGCGCTGCAGAAAACCAACATATCTTTACACTTACTGCTCTTTAAAGTCAACAGAAAATGCAATCTCATTTGTTGCTACTTTTTGCATTGGCAACCACAGTATATCAGTATTGTCTTCCTCACTGGTTAGGCTTGGAGATGGAGTTAAACCCATGCTACCAGCCACATTTACATGGCATACATTTTCTCAAAATTCAAACACTGACTCAAACAGCCTTTGCCAGGTCATGACACACGCTCAGATGGTACAGCAGAGGAGCGGAGCTTACAGAAAAGTTGGACAACTTTGTATAAATGCACTTACCTGCTGCGTGCACAAAGTATGCCAAATATAAATCGAGTTCCTTAACAGAAACTCCTATATGATGGGGCTGTACGCACAGCCCTGGATTAGAGCACTGTGGGGACTTTACAAGGCGCTCGCCATCAGTACTTTCGAGCGGAATACCTTTAAATAAAATCACCATAACAAGGTCCAATCTCCAGACCTTATCTGCCTGGCGTAGGCAGTCAATTCTTCTCATCTTGCCCTTCTGGTCTGGATTGGAAAGAACGCAACACGGAGGCTTTTTTCCTGTGACTGTGAGAACAAAATCCTCTCGGAACTCAGGCCTGATATCTTTCCGTAGCTTTGCCAGAAGTCTGGATGCCCATTTTTGTTTGACCTCAGGTTTTTCACTTAGCAATTCGTCCTTCACTGCTCTCTCTTCCTCTTTAGACATGCGTTTTTCATGTTTTTTGAAGTATTTTCGTTTTCGGGCTTGCAGGTTGAACCACGTGTACGCAAATGCTCGGACGTGAGGCAGAAGTGCTTCAATGAAGGGATGAAATTCATCCTAGAGGAATGATAACAAAATTATTGGTATCATGAAAACACAACCACAACCAGCAAAGAATTCAAAATATCTCCTTCAAACACTACTTTAACACATGAAAAATGTATGTGCACATAAAGTAAGAATTAAGGCATGACAAGCATATATATGATAGGGCAGGAAACACAAGCACTTGCATATTCATATACACACACATATATAAATACTTCTTCCTTTCATTACACATATGCACACGCACACACGTAGGGTTTCTATGTAAATCAACCACAGGCTGTGATAGCACCATTGCAAAGGATAGAGAACATTTCACATACACTTAAGTGTAAAGAAAGTTTAGGCTCAGTCCTAAAATTTCAAATCACTTAAAAAATTTGAAAGTAGACCAAGAGCTGAAAAGTATATAAATCTGTAATGGCCTTAATCCGTGCTCAAAGAATACATATCTTACTTTGCTCTCTCCCTGACCCCATTGCTTGTGGGGTAGCCAGCACATGCCCGCCAATTTGGCAAATTCTAAACATTTGGATGCCAGTCAATGTTTGTATGGGGAAGTCTGAACTACAAAAAAACTTTCCTTAAGATGTATTTGGAAACAGCGACCGGCAGAATAATGACATTCCAATATAACTGATTTTACAGATAAAAGGGGTTGGTTTTTTTTGCTTACGGGACCCCCAGAAACAGCAAATAATTCAGCTCATTTGCAAATTTCTCCAGCATGCCTAAAAGTAAATTGTATTAAAAGCTTAGAAAACTCTAACCTTACAGAGTTTAAAAAAACAGTTCGGTTTATACTTAGCCGACCAAAAATAATAAATCTGATATTGTGACATGGACACAAGACAAATTCTGATTCCCTAGTATAAAAAAATAAAAGAAGAGGGAAACTTATGTGCAAAATCTGAAAGCAGAAAATCTTAGCGTCACCACCATATTCCAAAAAGAAATGACTGGATGTCATTGCTAGCATCTTTTGTTATAGTCTGAATAATATATTTTAAAAGACTACCACTGCTATACTTTTTGTTCCCAACCATACCGCCTGCCTTCAGTAACATGATTTTAAGTTTGTTCTCTTTACTTGGGACAAAAACAATCGGTATTGACTAGTTCCTTTCAACTCCAACAAGTATACTGCAAGAAAGGCCCATATACTTGGTTTTTTTAAACTATTAAATGTACGCAAAAATTACATTAGTCAAACGTTATGTTTCTACATAAATCACACGTTATAATTCACTATAATTGTGCTGGTTATTCTTCTCTAAGTGACAGCATTATTGCACATGACTTTACCTATAGAAACGCATGTACAACTTAAGGGCCTGATTCTGTAATATATGCGAGGAACTAAGTTCACTCTTTAGGCCAAGAGGAACTCCCACAAGTGAGTTACTCCCATTCATGGGATCGGGCCCTACGGGAAAAAAATTTAAAACTATATAGAGCACAGACAGGAAACTTTAACTCTGCACTGTTCTTGCCAGGTGACAATTTTTTTTTCAATTAAACTGACTTTCCTCTGTTGTATTAGCATGCACAGTGTACCACCTACCGAAATAGTTTCATAGCCTTAAAAATCATGTTATTAAAATATGTCCCTTGTGTGGCTCCAGTGCCTTTTTTCCCCAGAAAACACCTTCCTGCTCAAAAAAATATATTAAAAATGAAAATCAATGATGGAAACATCTAGTAACAAAATCCTGTCACAATTCAAGGCTGTGTATCAAGTTTCCATAGGGGTTAATCACACATATTCTGTGCGTCTCTTAACGTGTATGTACTATGTAATCATTACAGCATATTTTTTTAAAGGGGGACTATTAGAAATGACCAAAAATGACACAACAACGTTAACAGAATGCAAGAGTACTTACAAATGTGAATGACTATTAAAACGTAAGACATAAAATAAATTCAAATAATTTGGCGATTAACATTTTGGGGTTTTTTTCTCTACTTGAGAAGATCAGTTTCAAATGTCAAGAAAGTAAAAAAGCTTTTAGTCGGTGGATTCAAAAAGTGAGAGGAGGCAGCAATCACAACACGTGGAGCTGGGCTCTCAAACATGAAAAATTGCTTTAATAGAAAAAAAAAAGATAAAGAGCTGCAGGTTGCCACAAGCTATTAAAAATAATAAAAACACACTTCTGATCTTTGCAGTTCTTTCCCCCAATACATACACTCAAAAAGAGAAGAATGGGAAAAGGCCTTTTGTCAAGTCAAAGTTTATCTGCTAAGGTACACAATCAATTTGCTAAAAAGACCTGCAATGAAACAGGAGATCGTTTGAAGCATTAATAAATTCTAAACACATCTTGGTATATCCTGAAATATTTAACTTTCTGCTTTCAACAGGACTTCATATTGACTGATCTCATATGCTCACGACTTTTTTGGCCCTACGCTGGATACTATCCAAAATACAGCTCCTGGAGTCTGCATTAGAGCTGAGCTACAATGTGAACCTGAAAGAGGGAGAAAAAAACTTTGAAAGGCCGCAGAACCATTATATGGCCTAAAGATCAGGTAATCATCTTCAGTGGTTCTTAATCTGTATTAAATTTAAAGATTGCTACGCCACGAGACAGATATATGCCTTGCATTCACGTGTATCTATACATGTTGCATTTTAATGTGGTTTTCAAAATGGTGTACTAAGCAAAAAGGTTAATGACTCAAGAACAGAAGACTGCCAAACTAACTTTTAAACTGTCTTCATAAAATATTCCCCTGCAAAATCCAACCACCGAAATCTCAATGAGAAGGAATCAGCAAAGTATGAATGGAAATAAAGCCACACAACCATTTGGAAAACCAATTTTGCCATTTTTTCTTTTTTTTTTTTTTACAGTTGTTTATTAAAATGTTATTAAGCTCCCCCCAAAAGTTCTGGAAATATGTCCATGAAAGTGCATGTAAAGGTGTGCAGATCCACTCACTTGCTTAGAGCAAAAAATTCAGATTGAAAATAACTGTTAGAAAACAGTATGATTTTTGCCTTTTCTCAATGTTTATAAAATAGTTCAAAAGTTTGGGTTAAAAACATTATCCCCTTTAAGAATTAAAGAATACTTGAAAAATAAATAGTACCCTAAGGGTGTTCTATACATTTTTTAGAAGGAAAAAAATAAAAACTAAGTTTTAATATAATGCTCTTTCACTGTTTGCAGTTATGGTACTTCCGACATGCACCCTGCATCAAAAGTTTGGGCCTTGAAATTATATTTATATATTTAAATTACATGCTCACAAAAAACAAAGGGGGCTTAATATCCAGAAGAGAGGGACAAGAAAAGGTAGCATGTTATAGTAATCTTTTTCTATGATCTATTTACACTGATCTATTTGAAAATAAGTCAAAGTTATAAACCCTCATAATATTAATATTTCTGCATTTCATGTTTTTTTCAAGTATTTTTTTTACAAATTAGATACTCAGGTTGGCCCAAACTATTTTCCAGATCTACAGAACAGATGTGAATTAAATAGTGTGTATATCTCTGAGAGAGGGTTCAAACCTCTCTAGCAGACACAGTCATGCCATTCCAGTTGCATTACTGGGATGACTGTGCTTCCTAACCACGGTTTTGTCTGTTTGTTTGTATTTTTCCAAATCCTCCTCCTAAGGTTTTCCCCTTAAAACTGAGCCAATACTAAAATATAAAAAAGGAAAGAAAAAACCCTACCCCAAAACTTGTAGCAATAAAAGCTCATGTGAATTCTGAAATGAAAATCAAAAGACCACTTAAGCCTTTATTAAAATTTAGCCTACGTTTTCTATATAAAATGGTAAAACCGCCTCATGGATCATTCTCGGCATACAGTTTGCAAAGAGGCCTCTGAATCCCTAAACTACTTTCCCAAATGTTAAACAAGGAATATAAGATTTTGACAACAAAATGACACTATATTTAATATTAAAAAAAGGAAAGGGAAAAATGCAGAGCTTGATTCTGAATCTCCTTAATGTACCATTGGGCCTACTAAAAACAGGATTAGACAAGTGCAGTTTGAAAAGGAAATGAGTATTTGGCTGTTCTTTCAGAAGTTAAATTACTATCATTTCTCCAGTAGGCAAAATGACAGAAAGTAGGGATTTATCTGGGCTGTATCAGTGGCGTAAACTCTGGTCAAAAAGGGCACAAGGGCTGCACCCCGTGTTTCTGCGCAAGTGACACGTTCGTGTCAACACGTCGACCTGCCTTCTGCCTAAAAGCAAGGGGGAGCTCAGCACTGTGAAGTTCCTCCCTCCCACCACTTCCCTCGCAATGAGTCCATCGATTTCTGGAGGGAAGAAAGAAAAATGAAACTTTTTTTTGCAGCTCCCAAGCATACTTGGAAAAGCGCCCCGTCCCCAGGATGGGGGGCTAGCTCTCTTGTGGGAAACTGTCTTCAAGAGCTCCTCTTCAAAAATACTAATGAGCAAACTAAAAGGGATGATAGCCTCCCAATCCTGCATGCAGGAGGAAATCAGGCTGGGGTTTGAGGCCACCAGGAAGTATTTCCTCCTTAAACCATTATCTCCTGCGAAGGGAAGGTGTGCAACTGGAAGGCTGTGCTATAACTTGTGTGCAGAAGAGAGGGAAGGGGCCACTTGCTTTGCACTCAGGCTGGAAGGTATCACAGTCCCAGGCTGTATGGGGAGGGGGGGGACACTCTCCCTTCCCTCCAGCTTCAGGCCTTCCAATAGTGAAAATAAATATGACAAAACAAGGAGCTCAGGAGCCGCAGAAGGGCAGCGTTGTGCCTGAGGGGCGCTGAGAGGGAGGGGGAAGAGGTGAGCAGGAAAAGTTGCCCGAAGTCCTGCGAAGTGAGCGGGGAGGGCGGCCGCGCGGCGGGGGAGGGGGCGGCTGCAGCCAGGACAACTCCGCAGCCCGGGGACGGGATCGAGCAACTTTGTGAGCAGGACTTGCACCCCCCCTGCCAAAAAAATAAAATAATATCCA